GTCCGTCCGTTTCTACGCAAACTAGTCTCTCAGTTTTAAAGCTAACGGGCTGAAACTTTCCAAAAAGTCTTATATCTTTTGCAGGTAGTATATAAGTCGGAACCAGCCGGATCGGACAATTATATCTTATAGCTCCCATAGGAACAATCGGAAAAAAAATTTAAAAAAATTATATTAATGGTTATTAACATATAACCTCCTAAGCTTGGAAATAACATTTTTTAATTAGTTTTGAATTTCGAATTAAATTTTATCAAAATCGGACGACTTTATAAAATAGCTGCCATAGGAACGATCGGAAAATTAATGAGAAAATAATATAAAACAAATTATAGCTTCGCTGTTTTTTAACAATAAAATTTTTTAATTAGTTTTGAATTTGGAATTTAATTTTATCAAAATCGGACGACTATATAATATACACTGGTGGAAAAAACAATAGAAACGGCTTACTCACTTTCGTATTTTTTTTTTATTTCATAAAAAACAAAGTAGATATATCTCATATATTTTTTTTTTAACATATATTTAAGTTTGTTTTATAATAAGGAACAAAAAGATTAAAGAATTAATTTTGAGTTTTTACCCTGAAAAAAATAATAGAAACAAAACGTTGAAACTTCATAAACATAATTTTTTTTAAGCCATAATGACTCCTAAACTAATATTTAGTAGTATTACCTTTACATTGCAATACTGCAAGGCATCGGCGAGGCATAGAGTGTACAAGATTGGCACAAGTTGAAGGAGAAATGGCGTACCACTCGCTTTGAACTTTCTGCCACAATGCTTCCTTATTTGGGGCTTTGAAGTTACCAATTCGTCTTTTTAGGTGTCCCCATAAATGCTCAATCGGATTTAGATCCGGCGATTGAGCTGGCCAGTCCATTACAGGTATTTTTTGGTCCCGGAACCATTTTTGTAAAATTTTTGCTTTATGCTTTGGGTGATTATCTTGCATGACTCCCATTTAAGCGGCATTTCCTCATCGGCATATGGATGCATTGTGCTCTCAAGTATGCTACGGTAGTCCTCAGCAAACATCCTTTCCTTAATCCAAAATATAGGACCAACTCCAGAAGATGAAAAGCATCCCCATAGCATTATGTTCCCTACACCATGCTTAACAGTCTTAATCGTATGCTTAGGATCGAAAGCAGTGTTCTTTGGGCGTCTCCATCCATTTTATTTTTCCATCTGATTCACACATATTAATTTTAGTTTCATCGGACCAGAGAACATTATTCCAGTTTTGGCGGTTCTGGTGTTGTTTTGCAAAAAGCAGTCTATTTTTCATACTTTTTTGGCTCAGAGATGGAACTTTCCTGGCTGAATATGCTCTCAGATCTCGTTCAATCAGCCGGTTTCTAATTGTTCGAGCTGTAACTGCTGCCCCTAAGGTATTTCTGAGTTCCTTGGCTGTAAGGAATGGGTACTTTTTTATTGTTCGAACCAAAATGTCGTCAAACCATTTGGTTGTCGCTCGCTTTTTACCTCGGTTCTCCTTTTTATCCATGTAATGAACCGCGGAGAACACTTTTTTCTTTGAGCAATTCATTAATTCAGCTATTTTAGACGTTGATTTTCCTTCATCACTCAGTTTTTTTATTAAATGCCTTTCCGGAGCCGTGCAATGCACTCCTCGACCTATTCTGAGCCTAGAAGTCGTAATTATGAACGGATTTTCACCATGTTTGAAACTTTTTGTTAAACTTACCTTAAAGTATTTAAACTAAACCAAAAAGTTCGAAATACAAAGAGTCTAAGCCGAAATTTCGGTTGAAATAAGTAGTGTTTCCATTTTTTTTTCCAGGCCAAACCTGTGTTCGCCCTCAAAAATTATGCACACAGCACATAATAAAGGCGAATGGGGCTCAAGGAGTAACAGAAAATAAAGAACAGTTATCAGTGCTCCACATGTTATTGGTTTGAAGCCCGCAACTTTCGTACTTACTTAGCTATTTAATAAGAAGTGAAGAAGTGAAAATCGTTTCTATTATTTTTTCCACCAGTGTAGCTGCCATAGAAACGATCGGAAAATTTGTTGGAAAATAATATGAAACAAATTATAGATTCCGTGTCTTTTAACATATAACCTCTTATGCTTGGAAATGACAATAAATGAACCCAAGGACATGCCTATGATAATTTAAGCACTCATTTTCATACAAATTGTGCGCTCATTAAGCGCTCAGTGATGAACTTTTTGCAGTGATTGAGTGCTCAATAAGCGATGAATGGTACTGCAGGGTATGAACTTACCTGATTACACTTAATATAAATCTCATTAAAATGCATAGATACCTAAAAAGCGAATGGTACAGAATTCTACAAGTATAATTCACATGTTATGTCTTCTTCCACCACTTATGTATATAAAATGCTCGTTTTGCCGAACCTAATGAAATTGCGACATTTGCTCACTAAGAAGAAATCTAAGAACATTTTTTTAAATTTTGTTTTAAGTACAAAAGAAGGCCTGATTTGGAGTGGTGTACATTCTGAGTTTGCGAAATCCCGTAGGTCAGCACTTTCGTCCGCATGCCTGTGCCCCAGTTGTTTAGATTATTTGCCATCCACAGTACGAACACCGCTAAACATTAAATGCCCTATTCTTTGGGCCGCGGCTAACGGCGTTCATCGAAATTCACTCGCTAAATATGGTATTTTTTGTGGTATTTCCTTACCTCATCTGAATACCGCGCTGAAAAACAGACCCGACGAAAAGCGTTAGCCGCCTATTTGCCTCTCGCTCACTCCTATGGTTTTCGTCGATGTGAGCTATAGACTTTATAATGGAACAATTTCCATTTAAAGATAATGGCCGCGTTCAGCACAACAACATTATAAATGATAAGTCATTCATCAGTAATCAGTGATCAAGATTCTGTTGCTTAACGCTCATGATACATATCAACGTTAAAAAAGTAAACAATTTTAACTGGAAAACTCCACTATGCAATTCATGTGTCTCTTTAAATTTGGCCTACTAAAAGGTTTTCACAATTACTTTATAAGCAAATGTTGTTCAATTAAAGTTGCGTTTGTATAAAAGATATGGACGGCCACCGCAAATGTAGCATTGCGCCGCCAATCGTGGACACGTAAGACAATGCAGAATAAATGTGAGAATACAAGTGTATAACCCAGCTTTATATTGGTCTCACTTCTTATAAATCATAATAAATTGATCAAATCCTTTCCTGACCCGTCCGTTATCCATTTCGTTGTCCTTGGTAATTAATTAGAATCCGTGCTTAGCCTCCGAACATTTTTGACAATTTTTTACAAATGTTTTATAACTCATATAAGGGTTAATAGAATCCCGATATATATGTCCCATATTTAAATTATCTTGTTTAAACATTATGATAAAGTTTGCATTGTTACGAATTAAATATTTCGGTATATGGGTATTAGTTTGACATAAATAAAAAGAGTCGATATTTTTATGTCGACCCACACAAAATTAAGATCTTATGTTATCTTGTTTTCCACAAGCTGAGTCATCAAATATCATTATGAAATTATTTCTGGCTTCACTGGGGTCCAGTACACCATCATTAAGGGAATATGCATGATATCCCATTTATTTAATCGGGTTAATTAATTTCTCCAAGTATTCATATTGTAAAGAACTGATTTTGCTTGGTTTGCTCGCTACGAGAATCGTGCGACTGCCCCGTAGATCAGTGAGAAAACACAGGGTTCGAATGGTAACAGTGGGTTTTATTCTCGTGTTATTAAAACATCGGGTGTGTGGCTGGGCTGGCCTCGCTTGGTTCCGTAGGCTGCTGATGTTCCTCGTCCTGGCCTGTCGACGCGTTGACTTGACGACCGCTGGCTCCTGTGTCTCGGGATGCTCGTAGTGGCCTCGGGGTCGCTTGTCGCGCCTTGGACTTGCAGAGAGTTCGGCCTTGCGGGCTTAGGGAAGCGTCACCGTTCTCAGACTAGGGTGAACAAGCCTTGCTCTCCAGGCCAACGCCTTTCGAGGCAATACCTGTCCCTTGCTCTGTCCCGGAATCTGCACTTCAAATATCAATAGCCTAGCTCTTATAGTTTCCGAGATCTCAGCGTTCATCCGGACAGACGGAAATGGCTAGATCGACTCGGCTAGTGATTCTGATCAAGAATATATATACTTTATAGGGTCGGAAACGCTTCCTTCTGCCTGTTACTTACTTTCCGACGAATCTAGTATACCCTTTTACTCTACGAGTAACGGGTATAAAAACGGAACAATACCCGTTTGATATTGTCTCCTCAATTTTCACATATCACCTTTTACATATCAAATTGATACGAATTCATATCAACATGATACGGATTCATATCAACATTTCTATTTGATATGATTTTGCATCATTATTCCCGTTACTCGTAGAGTAAAAGGGTATACTAGATTCGTCGAAAAGTATGTAACAGGCAGAAGGAAGCGTTTCCGACCCCATAAAGTATATATGTTCTTGATCAGGATCACTAGCCGAGTCGATCTAGCCATGTCCGTCTGTCCGTTTGTCTGTCCGTCCGGATGAACGCTGAGATCTCGGAAACTATAAGAGCTAGGCTATTAAGATTTGGCGTGCAGATTCCTGAGCTTCTTACACAGCGCAAGTTTGTTTCAGCAAAGTGCCACGCCCACAAACCGCCTAAAACGGTGGCTCCTACAGTTTTAATGCTTGAATAAAAATTTTAACTGAAATGTATTGGTCTCGTCAAAACCTATCGATTGATCTAAAAAAAATTTGCCACGCCCACTCTAACGCCCATAACGCTTAAATCTGTCTACCGCCGGTAGGTGGCGCATTTTAATTCCGCTTTGCTGCTTGCATATCTCCATTTCCCTTTGGTCACTTTAGCTGATTAACGGGTATCTGATAGTCGAGGTACTCGACTATAGCGTTCTTCCTTGTTTTAATATAAACTCGTATTAATTTGATATGTTTTTCATATCAAACGTAACACTGAAAAGTCTTCGAAAAAAAGTATGACTGTGCTTCCGTATTTTTTGTGTATTTATGGTACTAAAGATATTTTTTTGGCTGAATTGCTGTGGTCACTCCAACATTCGACCAAATGTGAAATTGTACAAAAGTGAAAAATTTACATATGTTGTTTTTTTTTTTGCAAACGGTAAGTATCTCATTTTCAATTATAATTACTTGATGTTTGTCTAATTCTAACATATTTATTTATTGGACACTGTACCGAGCTTTTCGGTGGCTGACTACACAGACTGCACTACATAAAGTCAAATGGCTGGCAAAGATGCCGAACTGGTCAAGTTGGCGTCCAAGTACTTCGCTGGAAATCTTCTATCGAGGACAGAAGAAGGCCTTCCTGACGCTGATGCAAAGCTACAGGAGGCATCCGAGTACAGCGGGATCGGTCATTTATTGCTAAGTCCTGGAATTATTTTTATAATTGATCCAAAATATATAAAAAATAAAAATTTACAGCGATCTTATGGGTTTTCAACATTTAGTTGTTTATTAGATGCAAAAAAGTAAAAACAAAACTGATTTATATTGATATTACAAACATATCAATCTGGTATGAAAGTATAACAGTTTGATATGAAAGCATATCAGACTGATACGAAAGCATATCAGTTTGAAAATAATGCATATCAGTTGGATATTAAAAATACCACAATTTGGTCACAACTTTGATATGTGCGCATATCAATCTGGTATGAAAAATACCAAATTGACATGTTTGAAAATTTATGTCCGTCAAATTAGCGTCGGCCTGTTAGCAACGAAAGTGGAACGGTGGAATTTGGAACATGGAGGCTCTTTTTATTTTTAAATTTTCTCGCTTTTTGGGGACCAAATCGAAAAATCTAAAATGCTAGATTGTTAAGAAAGAAAAGATCTATCGATCTAGGTAGGTTTGGGACACATCCGAGGTCTATTAATGTTTCAAAAATGCATTTGAAAAATCGTGTCTCCACAATTTTGTTAACTGCTCCCCTCACAGAGGTTGTGCCAATATGCACGATAAGCCAAGCTATTGGGGCTTAATTCAAGCTCCTTTTCTGAAAGTTTCATTAAAATCAAACCCACAGTTTTCGAGAAAATAGCCTAACAGTGACGCAACCTCGGATTTTCCCCATACAAAAAAGGGGGCAAAAATGAAATTACCTACGGCTCCACTCCTAGAGGTTGTGCCAAAATTTTATCAAAATCAAACCCACAGATTTTGAGAAAATTGCTTTACAGTTGGGGGTGTTAAAAAGGTTAATAAAAGGCAGTTTAATCCAGAAACTGAACCATTGGATACTAAGACATGAACCACAATGTAACAGCTTAGCCATGACAATCATTCGACGCTAACTTTCTATAACTTTATACAACTCTCACAGAGGTTGTGCCAACTTGCACGGTATCGCATTCGGAGGGGCATCATTATAGCTAATTTCTGAGTTAATTACAGGCAATTCAAACCCACAGTTTTCGAGAAATTCAAGTATTTTCAATTATGGCTTTTGCCACGCGGTCACACTGTCCAGGCCAGCGAGAAATCGTATGCACACCTGACATCAACCATCAAAATATATATGCAAACTTTAATTAATTCATACAACTCTCACAGAGGTTGTGCCAACTTGCATGGTATCGCATTCGAAGGGGCATCATTTGAGCTAATTTCAGAATAAATTACAGGCAATTCAAACCCACAGTTTTCGAGAAATTCAAGTATTTTCACACTGTCCAGACCAGCGAGAAAGCAAATTCAGCCAAGACATTTACCACGAAAAGGTATTTATCGATATATCGCCAAGTGCCAAGCTACGACCTACAACACTTAATTGAGCCAATCGAATACTTTTGGCCAAGGACCTATTCCTCAATTAAAAATATTTTATTGAACTCTTATCTTTTAAATTCAAAATCTTACAATTTCTGCAAGACTTCATTCCTTTCTTCCTTTTTGGTTGTTCAACTGGTGCTAGTAAATAATTATATTAACTTTATTAAAAATAATGTAGCAGAAAGGAGTGAGGGAAAGCCGTGAATCTATTTGGAGTCTATTTTCTAATAGGATCGCAATTTGAGAATAACCAAATAAGTTTGTAGTTTGAAATAAGTTTTGCCCCTTAAAGGATATGTGTTATAGCTGTTTAAGATTTGCAAAATAAATATTTTTTTACAAAAGGATATCCTGGGTATTATACAGAATTTATACTTAAACAAGGAAGAACGCTATAGTCGAGTACCTCGACTATCAGATACCCGTTACTCAGCTAAAGGGACCAAAGGGAAATGGAGATATGCAAGCAGCAAAGCGGAATTAAAATGCGCCACCTACCGGCGGTAGACAGATTTAAGCGTTATGGGCGTTAGAGTGGGCGTGGCAAATTTTTTTTAGATCAATCGATAGGTTTTGACGAGACCAATACATTTCAGTTAAAATTTTTATTCAAGCATTAAAACTGTAGGAGCCACCGTTTTAGGCGGTTTGTGGGCGTGGCACTTTGCTGAAACAAACTTGCGCTGTGTAAGAAGCTCAGGAATCTGCACGCCAAATCTTAATAGCCTAGCTCTTATAGTTTCCGAGATCCCAGCGTTCATCCGGACGGACAGACAAACGGACAGACGGACATGGCTAGATCGACTCGGCTAGTGATCCTGATCAAGAATATATATACTTTATGGGGTCGGAAACGCTTCCTTCTGCCTGTTACATACTTTTCGACGAATCTACAATAGTATACCCTTTTACTCTACGTTGTGTGTGAAAATTTGGCAAAGTGATGAATCATTTCAAGAATATTTTTACGAAAAACTAATATTATCAAATAAAATAAATATAAGTCAAAAAGAACTACTGGAGCACTTGAATGACGGAATACCGGACTATGCGCTACGCAACCAGGAAAAAATGCAACGATTTTCAAATACAGCTGAGTTATTGCACGCTTTTAAGAAACTTCAATTGAAGCAGATTTTTGTCAACAACAACAACAAAGTTACGCTACAGGCAGATACCAATAAATCTGCAAATGTAATTAAGTGCTATAATTGCAATTCAAAGGGACAAAAAGCCAATGAGTGTCGCAAAAGCAAGAGGGAACCTGGATCCTGTTTCGTCTGCGCTGAGATGTGGCACACTTCAATCAACTGTCCGAAACGCAAGAATATAAACCAACTGGAGAGCAAAAACAATTCAAATTGATTTGTAAGAAAAATAGAGTATTTATTTACTAAACAAATTAACAATCTTATCCTCTCATTAGAAACCCTAATCGACACGGGAAGTCCCACTTCTCTTATACGTGAAGAACATGTACCAACCGAATTTATCGAGTTATAATTTTCTTAAAAACTACTATGGGATAAATAAGAGTAAACTGATATTATCATTGGAATAGTTAAATGTAAAATCATATTTGAAAACCAAGAATTTAATAATAATTTTGTTGTTGTACCTAATGAAACAATGGAATATCCTGCAATATTGGGAACTGATTTTTTAGAAAAGGAAAGATTTGTGTTAATAAAAGAAAGTAAATTAAGATTAGAAAACAAAGTAAGTAAAGACGAAAGTAAACAAAATATGGAAGAATTAATAAGACTACCTATAGACAAGGAAGAAAAATTACCCAACAAAAAAAATGTAAGTGGGTACTTGAACCAAAATGAAGAACATATGTCCGAAATAGAAAGTGAATGTCGAAACCTAATGGCAATTGAATTAGATAAAGAGGAAAATACATTAATTATTAACAATACAAACATACATTTAAAATATAATTTTAAGTTACAACCAATCTTTAAGCAGTATTATTTAAATACTGAAATCCCTAAGAAGCCGGAAACTAAATGCCATTTAAAATTGATTCTTAATAACGAAAAGCCTTTCCATTATAAGCCCATGAGTTAATAAAGAATTAAATAATTAGGCCAAGTCAGTCAGAGTTTGCTTCTCCAATTGTATTGGTTAGAAAAAAGACAGGTAATATTAGACTATGTGTTGACTACAGAACATTAAATAAAAATACTCCCAAAGATAATTACCCTTTACCGTTGATCGAGGATCTTATAGATACTCTTGCAAACAATGAAATATTTACACTGCTAGAAAGTGCTTTTCATCAATTTGAAGTTCACGAGGATTCTGTAAAGTATACGTCGTTCGTAACGCCCATGGGTCAATTCGAATATATTAACATGTTATTCGGTCTGAGAAACGCGCCAGCCACATTTCAAAGATTCGTAAATAGGGTGTTTGATGATATGATTAGAGCTGGAAAGGTTGCCATTTACTTAGATGATATAATGATAGCATCAAAGTCAGTTGAGAAACATTTAATTACGTTGACGGAAGTTTTTCAAAGATTAATAAGGAATAAATTGGATCTTAGGATTGACAAGTGTAGGTTTATTGAATAACAGTGTGAATATCTTGGCTATATTGTATCAAAGAAAGGAATACAGCCAGATAAAAAAATATAGAAACAATAACAAACTTCCCGATTCCAAAAAATGCAAAAAAAAATGCACTGCCTTTTAGGACTCTGTTCCTATTTTAGAAAGTTTATAAAAGAATTCTCCATTAAAGCAAAACCACTTTATAATATCATTAAAAAGGATGCAAAGTTCGAGTTTGGTGAAGATAAAATTCAGTGCTTCGAAAACCTGAAGAACATGTTAATAAATGCTCCAATCCTTTCTATATACGAACCAAAACATGAAACAGAACTACATTGCGACGCCAGTTCAATTGGGTTTGGAGCAATATTAATGAAAAGAAAAGACGACAATAAAATGCATCCAATATATTTCATCTCAAAACAAACGACAGATTACGAACGCTTGCTATAATATATGCTTTAAGAAGGTTCAAAATATACTTACAGAGAAAGAAATTCAAAATAATTACAGATTGTAATTCATTGTCCTTAACATTAAATAATAGGGAAATAAACACAAGAATTGCTAGATGGGCGCTTGAATTAGAAAACTTCGACTACGATGTCGATGCTTTGAGTAGTATTTCGAATATATTGGTAGTAGAAGAAAACACGTTAGAACAAAACCTTTCAATGTGCCAAAACAAAGACAGTGCTATCCATGAAATACGTCAAAGATTAGAGAAAGAAGAAAGTAATGCGTTTGAAATGAGAAATGGTCTTTTTTATCGAAAATTTAAAGGTAATATTTTATTTTATGTGCCAGCAAACATAGAAGGAAATATTTTAACGCTATATCATGACAACATGGGACACAGAGGTTATGAAAAAGTATACAATGCTATAATAAGATCTTATTGGTTTCCTAAATTATCTGATAAAATTAAACAACACATACATAACTGTTTAAGATGTATAACATTTTCATCCAAATGTGGGAAACGCGAAGGTTTATTACACAGTATACCAAAGGGTGACAAACCATTTGACATAGTACATATAGATCATTTCGGCCCCGTAAAAATTATAAACGGATCAAATAAAT